GATTGATATCAGTTAAAGAACCATTGAAAACCAGCTACAGGGAGTACTGGACAGCTGTTTCCCCTGTCCTAGTTTAGGAACCATTGGCAGTAGGGACCCACACCACAGGGGTTCCAAACCCAGGACATTCCAGTTACAAGGCAAGCTGGCTCGTATACCATTAAGCCACTGGGACGCGACTCAATGGCCAGTCCAAGAATTCGGTGGGAATCGGGTCCCAGTGTCTGATTCGTATACGAGCTTGCCTTGTAACCAGATCTTAGTTTAATCTTTTGATTGGACACTAAATAGTGTTCTGCGTCTAGTCTTCTGTTGGCTGCAGACTAAATTCTATCACAGTGGATTTTGTTATGTGTTTTAATGAGTTCGACCACGGATTGATATCAGTTAGAGAACCGCTGAAAATCAGCCACAGGGAGTACTGGACGGCTGTTTCCTCCCTCCTAGTTTAGGAATCATCTGCAGTACACCCACCCACCCCACAGGGGGTTCGAACTCAGGACCTATCGGTTACAAGGCAAGCTCATATACCATTAAGCCAATGGAACCCGATTCAATGGCCAATCCATAAATACGTCAACCAATTTATTTGCTCAATTGTAGTTCTAATTTAAATGGCATTATTCTCTACCCCACTTCTATTTAGTCTCTACCTGTGATTACCTCTGTTGCTATCCTGACTTAATTTGAAACATTTCCGTTAATAATATTACGTCGTCTAACTTACTAACTAACTCAGTATTGCTTTAGTTGCTGTCTAGTTAACCTTGTTTCCATATTAGATCATTCTTGTATTACCTGATTAATTATCTAAGCTTAAAAAACCTCATGTACACGCATTCACACACAAATAGTTGTATATAAATACGACTGTACAGCTATGTGAATGAATTCGCCATCGAAAAGAGTCTCTTCGCTGAACGTCTTCTCTTTTTCATATGTATACATGAGCCATTTATTTAAACTTGAGATGTGTATCATGTAAGCTAAATAAAATTTTCTATTTAAAGTTGAAAATCAATTTCATCACTATATTAAATTGCGCAGTTCGAGGTGAGAAGTTACCAAGAATTATTTTGGAAAACGAAAGACGCCTTAAATTGCAATTATTAAAGCAGGAGAGATCGCATCATGTCCCATATTACTGATTGGTGTGATCGGTTTAAAACTCCTCACTTCAACCAATAGTCTTTGCATAGGAACCATAGTGAATTCTCACCTGCAACAATAATCGGATGTTCGGGGTCTAGATCACTCCCGTCTGGCTAGCACAAACCATTGTTTGATGTAAATGTTTTTCAGCTACTTATATCAATCAATCAGTAGTATATATAGCCCACATAAACGAATGGATTTCCAAATTCTATTAGATGTTTGACAATATCATTGGTTAAGTTGCAGGAAGCCGAGAAATGAACAATATTCAGATTATAAGCACTGGTTCTTCTACCTTCCAACAGTTGCTTAATTCCAGGCTAATTTGGGTATACATAATGCCTCCGAAGGTTTCTTATATATATATATATATATATATACTAAGAACATTGAAACTATAGAGAAGTTATAATAAGTCAAAAACATAAGTATATAATATAGCTAAGTAAGTGGAGTGAGTCGGTGGTTCGAGGCCTGGGTTCGATTCCCGACTGACGGACTCACTGTTGAAACTCATGTAGCCGGTAGAAAGCCCTCATGTAAACACATACATACACACACAAATAATTGTATATAAACACGATTGTACAGCTATGTGAATGAATTTGTCGTCGAAAAGAGCCTCTTTGCTGAACGTCTTCTCTTTTTCATATGTAAACATGTATACAAGAGACAAGAACATATATTTGTAAACACGCACGTGTATATACATCTATACATGACTCATGTATATAAATGGAGCAGGCAATTTGTGTGATTGACTTGACAGGGTTAAGGGCAATAGTTTGTGCTTGCAACATGGTCATCAGTAAATATTCATGTACAACACTGTGTGATATATCAAAATAAAATCTTATCTTTAATAGAGTTAAATGTCTATATAAGCGGGATAAGAGCCTAAATAGTAAACCAAAAGATTTAAATATTGGGATAAAACAAATAAAGCAAATATTAGTAGTGAATAACTACTAGTTAGAATTTATTCTGAAATGTATGAAGAACTATTGAAAAATTAAGATTAGTAATGAAAATGACGAAAATAACAGGATCCATTATAGAATCCAGAGCCTGTTTAATTCTACCGTATAAAGAATGAACGTCAGAGGCTTTCCGAAGGATTATCAATGAGTCTGGGATCAGAGTGGCTTTTCAACCAACCAGATAACGAACTCAGAGATAAACTTTACTGACTTAGGGACCCAATAGATATAATTAAGAAAAATAATGTAATTTGTCAAATGCCTTGTATCGACGGTAAGTGAGGTCAATTACATCATAGGCGAAACTATTAGATCGTGGTCAACTAGATTATTGCGACACAAAAGTTTGGCTAGGCCTAGAATGATTGACCCTGTTAAGTTAAATAACCTGGGAAAATGACCATTCATTGTACTTCATTCGCCTGCATGTAATTACACAATAGTAGGGTGGGTGGGATAGGGTGAGAGTATTAAAAAGTAATATAGTTAGATGGAGAGAAATTGCATACACATGCAATCGAAATGACGCAAAACCTACCTAATGGAAATATGGAAAGTGGCAACAAAATAAAGAGGGGAAGATGGATATGTATACATGCATAAGGCAAATTGTGAAGCCATGTGTTCAAAACTTTGTCATCCAGTTGTTAATACTGCATTATCACTGTGTGATATTTGAAATATAAACTCATCTAATATGGAAGTACATTCAGTCACACTGCCCAAGTTCTGCACTTACATTAATAGAAGTCTAGGAAACGGAGTTATTCCTCATAAAATTAGGGCCCATAACATTTTCTAAAAATGAATAAGTGTGTCTGAGTTCGCAACCAAAGGGTCACATTATCTAAGTTGGCATGAGCAACAATACTTAACCAAAAACAAGTCTTAAGTATTAGGTCATGTAGAATATTACGTAAGGATGTTAGGTCAATAGATGAAGTTGTAAAGCCACATAGATGGAAATAGCTAGGACCCATGTTGCGTATTCCAAGGTATTGCTTTCCTCGACGAGCAATGGGAGGCGCCATAGGATTAGGTTTGAAAGAATTCACAGGTGGTTAAGCCAAAATGTGGAATCAGTCGCATGTAGACGTATAAACTGGCTGCCTGGTTGAAGTCCTCGGGATGCTAAGACCTAATGGTACAAGTGCATTCACTCCTTATAATCTTCCATATCTCTTAAACGGTAATGTTACTGTTCTTTCTCCTGAACATTTGTGATTCTTGCATTTCTTTAGAATCTCGTTTTTATCTCTTTTGGCTACCTTTGTTTGCTACATAGAGTATACCAACTGGAACTGGTACACTTCTGTGCAAATTTCTGTGCCGAAACTCATTGCCTGACTAATTTTCAATCAATTGCTTCATTATTCGGTCTAGCGGACGCGGTCACTATTTATGTCTTATTTTCTTTCCACAACCCCAGTGGGTTTCGCTATTTATGCGAACTCATAGTCATTCAAGTCGGTAGACTGTTGAGTCGGTGATCTGAAAATCAATGAAATGAAATTGTTTCGAAAGTGTGGTTGCCACCTAACTACTCCTCACCTGCCCATTGTCAGTCTATCAACCAGGAGTTATTTCAGTTAATCTCTGTTCAGGAATTCTGTTTCGCCTAATCTACTTTCAATGCCTCTTTATTGAATTATTTTTCACAGTCATGTTTTTTAACATTTCTTCCGTTTCTGTGAGTTCCGAGTGTGACATAATTCTTTAAGCTTTGAAGGTTTAGTGGAAGTGGTGCTGTTTTTACGGGGTGACACTGCTGGCCCCACGCCCATCCTACCTTCTTTTCGGGGCTTACTACCAGTTGGGCGAGGTGTGGGAATGAGTCAGCCAGGAATCGAACTGTAGGCACTATGAGGCATGGTTAGTGGTTATTCTACCCATGGGTCACCGTTCTTCTTCTAGTTAAGTAGTCTTGGATGTAAGATAATGGATCCTCAAAAGGCAGTCATGATTACGCTACCTTAACGTGGTGGTCGGGCTTGCACATCGCAATGACCCAACAAGCTACATTGGCTGGAACTATTGTTCCTGCAGGTCGTACCATGCCAGAAGGGTTGTTAGGATAGCGATTAGACTAAAAGCGGTTACCGGCTTAGTTTAAGAATTTTTTCACACTATGCTGGGGGTCTGCACTGCTGAGGGACAGGGATGTAACAGCACTGAGGTGTTTCCCTCAGATGATCAGCATGCCAGCCAGCTATGCTGTCTCTCCACTCTGGAGAGAGGGAGGGGTTAGAAAAGGTCGACCCCAACAATTGTACATCTGGAATTACCCTACGGTGGTCCATAACCGGCGGTAAGTTTACTAATACAGAACCAAACGAAAAACCGGTTCAAACAGGTCGTGTGTGACCGGCCTGAAGCAGTTTTACCCTGGGCTCTGCAGTCACGCAACATTAACCCTCTTTCTGTTTCAGGTACCCAAAGAATCAATCAACTTCTACCGTGTGGGCAGCTGGGAAGTAACAACCGCCCACACACTTTGAAGAGCACACGAAGACTCCTCGAGCATCATTCTGCTTTACCCACATCACCTTCATCATCTAACTTTCCTACTACAGTCGGCACTATTCTTATAAAATAGTAGTCCCAATTGAACTTAAGGAGCCGTTATAAAAGTAAGCACACTGAAATCTTCAAATATACCATCACTAATTTGGTATGCAGACATGCACAGCCACATAATAAGACAAAAAAGACAAACAAACTTATGAATCGATATTAGTTCAATTTCTCAAGCATCATAAAACATGCTCATAAAGTCAGTCTACCTATGCCTGCCCTGAGTACACATTCCAAAAACAGCCACTGTCCAACATTATTTGATACATTCCCCCAAAAAAACAAACTCACCTATTCATTACCAATTTCGATTGTACTGAACTCAATTCACCGAATGAGGTGTCCGGATTTGTAGCTGATCGATAAAGAAAAGACTGTCTGTGAATCGATGACTTTCTAAGAATTACTGCCGACTTTATTGACGAACTAGTACCACCGATCGATGGGGGCATAGAGTAGCGTGAATATGAAGAGAAAGATGTGGATGTGGAGGGGCATGATGGTGACGGAGGAGAAGTTGGTGCTGGTTGTGCTGAAGAATATCCCGTACATCTCATAGTGGTGGTGGTGTTCAGGGTAGTAGTATGGCCTTCTGAATATCTGAACAGGCGATTTGAACGGGTTTCAGAGAGAAAGACGATCAAACAGACAGAAAGAAAGAAAGAAGCAGAGAAAGAGGTGTCATTCCATGCTGAATATTTTGAAGTATCATGCAAAGATCTACAAAACAGACAACAGCTAAGAAACATTCAAAGCAGCAGATTGATGCATGCAAGAACAACACTGATAGCACAGACAACGATTACAAGAAAGCACGCAAAGCAATCCTTCAAAAAGACAAGAATTTCAGCCTTCCTTTCAGAGAGACACAAGAGAAAAGTGATTTTGGACAGACCAGTCGGAGATGGTGCAAATTTTTCAACGGGACAGTATAATCAATATTTGAATGACAACGCTAAATGACTATAAAGACACATTTTGGCAAATAAAAATTACTCACTATTACGTAATGCATGGTTTTGTGGCAGAGAAAATCACAAACACTCCAGAAAAGTTCAACATTTCAACAGTGGATGGCATAAATATGTTAATAGTTTTGCCACTTCATAAAGATAACATATAGGATAAATTTTAGGATTTACAAAAAGTATTTAAAATGCTTTTCAGATTCTGTTCTCACTATTCTTCGAAGTTATTCAACAAAACATACTGTCACAGGATTGCGTCGTGAGCTGAAATAGGTTAGAGAACCATTGGACAGTTGTTTCCTCCGTCCTAGTTTGCGACTTCTCATCAGTAGGCACCCACCACTTGGGGTTTGAATCCATGAACTTCCGGTTACGAGACGAATTCGTAAGCTATTAAGGCAATGGGTCCCGTCTCAATGGCCAGTGCATGAATTCCAACTTCTGAAAATTTACGTGCAATATAGCACGACTGGCGCTAGCCATTGTCAATGGTGACGAGTGTTTGTCCTCACACCCAACTGGATGGACCACACTACAACTCAGGTAAGTACCTTTTTTGAATAGGGCTAGTCGCTAGTGAGCATCTTTGTAGGCCCCTCAGTCGAGTTCCAGTGGCTTAACGGTTTCGAGTTCGTCTCGTAGCCGGAAGGTCCTGGGTTCGAACCCCGGAGGGTGAGTGCATAGTGATGAAGGGTCCCGAACTAGGACCGAGGAAACAGATGTTCAGCACTCCCTTGTGGTTTCCTAATGGTTCTCTAACTGATGTCAGCTCATAATAAAACCCTGTAAGTAATTAAATATCCTTAAACCAACACTAGGAAACACAATGTTATTTGCTAAAAGATGCCTGGAAGTGAAATGGCTGGATGCAAATTTCGTCCCACTTCGGGGTCGTCAGCTGAATAAGCCTGCATATTTTATTGTACTGCATCACTAGAGCCACCATTTGTGCATTGGGTGCATAAGAATTTGACATTCGAAACGATGGTCATCGGGTTTGAATTTCAGGGAGAACATCATCCATGTCTGACTGAGAACGGCAGGTACATATAGCTGACTTCTCACAGACAAAATGAAGTACGCGTCGTGAATTTGACTACTGGTGCATATAAGTCGAATCCCATCATGCTAACCTATAGATATCGTCGAAACATCCGTGCCAGTAGGTGGTATGTCAAGGAGGACGGAGTATTTCAATTCGACAGAAAAAACCATCCTTTTTAAATAAGTCAGGAACAAAGGTTTGTGGAGAATAAGATAGTACTATCGTTTATTTCGTCTCCTTGGCAAGAGATGAGTACGAAGTCGAAATGAATGGATCAGTTTTTATGTACAAAACAATTTTAACATAGGTTCGGATGTTACATGATCGATTTGAGAGGTGATAGTATTTCAGGAATAGCCAACAGAAGACAAAATACCTGACTGTCTAGAACTTATCCTGCAGCTAACTTGGTTCTCGTTCTTCAGAAAACATGTTCTCTAGTTCAATCAAAAGTACACAGATACACTCCTCATGTTAACTCTGATTGTATATACAAATTTACACGTGTCTGTAGTAGCAGTTACATCGGGATAACAGAAAGACGGACATATTTCCATATTCTCCAAACATGTACTAAAAAACTCACACCAAGGGAATAAACGTCTTCGAGTCTACCGAAGTAATAGTTATCGGACACCTGAAACCCAGTTTATGTGTTCAGAAAGAAACAGTCAACAGTCTTCCTTTCATTTTGCTTATGAATCTCAAATTAAGACGAAACAGCTATCCTTTGCAGTTGTTTCCAGACATTTATTTTTTTATTATTAAACTTGAACTCTGTGTGTATAAACTATGTAAGTGTAATTTTCTGATGGGTTATTCTAGTAGATTTGTAAGGAGACGGGTACATGAACACCAAGTATAATAAAGAGAAACTGACAACACTGTTAAAAAGAAACAACTGTTCCTAAAATTACAATTTTAATGGGGACGTGGCTAGTAGTGAAGTCTTACATCTGAGATTATCTCGAGAGAGAGCAATAAAATGAACTTATACTGCCACCACACTTTATTTGTCATTTTCCAGCTACCAAACAAGCTACCTACCTAGCTGTACCACTTCTATGTGTATCTACAAATTTAGTTGCTCCTGTGGAGACAGCTATATGGGTCGAAAAACATGACAGCTTAACAAACGTGTTAATGAGCATCTTCCTTCATGGTTCAGAAAAGGTCAAATAAAATCTATAAGAAGTTCTATTTTGACTCATTTAATTGCTGATAGCGGTCACCAAGTGGATAGAAGAAGTGCCTTCAAAAATATGTGTCGCATTCCATTGAACCTTTCAAACGGAATTCAAACTCCTCTCCTTTTAAACATAGCCGAATTTATGGGAATTCGAGAGGACAGTCCTAGTCCTTGCATACAAAAGAAGTTTGTTCTACCTTTGTCTCTCACTTGCCTGGCCCAGGTGAATTCTAATCAAAACCCTTTCACCCTTTCTTATGTTCCATTTCCTTCGTACTGATTATCTTTCTGTCCACTTCACCTTTAGTATTACTTAACTTTTAAGATTCGACCTAATTTAACTTATTTATTGAATTGTCTATATATGCACATATCACTCACTACCTTTGTTATTCTTATCGCCACCTGCATAAACCTTATTATCAATATTTTGTTATCATAATAATCATCGTTATTAGCGACGTTCAAAACATTTATCACATTATTATTTTCTATGGTTTGGTTTGTAAGGGATTATTTATTGTTTTTACGAGTTGATCACGGATTGATATCAGTTTGAGAACCATTGAAAATCAGCCACATGGAGTACTGGACAGCTTTTTCATCCATCATAGTTTGGGAATCATCGGCAGTACACCCACCCACTCCACCGGGCGTCCGAATCCAGGACCTTCCGGTTACAAGGCAAGCGAGTTCGGATACCATTCAGCAACTGGAACCCGATTCAATGGCCAGTCCATGAATTTTAACTCCTATGGATTCGTGATGTAACCCTTACAAACCAACTATAGAAAATTAATCGTATGCTCACTAGTGACTCGCTACAGGGTGGAATTTCCTGGAGTTCTAGTGAGGGGTCGTGACCAGTGAGGTTCATCCAGATGTCACGTGTGAGGATGGATGTCCCACAAACGATTATGGTTGGTTCGGACCCCCTGTGGGGTAGGTTGACGTACTGCCGAAGATTCCCAAATTATTATTATTACTTAATCCACAAAATCACCGTCATTTGTTAAAATTGTTACATATAAATCTATGTAATTTAGAGTGAAGCCTGAAGAGGATCTAATTGAAAACAGCAATATTGTTTGCTTATATGTCTTGTTCTAATATTGATAATGGGGATATTCCTGAGTACAGTTTATTAAGCTTTGGAGTCTCCTGTCAATTGACAGCATCTCATATATGTAAGTATGTCAAAATTTCTTCTGTACACTAGACCTGATTCATTTATTCAGTATGTGTACGCAGCTGATGAGCAATCGACGAAATAAACGATGGTTCTATCTTATATCTGAATTCTTAAAAAGGAATGAGTGTATGAAGTTTATGAAGCATAAACACAATATTCATAAATGAACTCCATTCATCAAAGTGGTTTTCACCAATTAAGGAAATTTTGCAAATGTTTCTAGGAAGATTTTCAGAGAATGTGCGAATGTGTGCAAAATAAACAGAGACGGAGATACAGGAATCCAGATGACTAGAAAAACTGTTGTCATATGAAAGTCAGATTAAACTGGATTCGTTCCTAACAGTATAACTAAGTCTCATTTGTTATATCTGTCCAAACCAAGTTCACGTTTAACAGTCTGAAACAAATTTGGGCATTGGGTATACGATATTCATTATAATAAAGGTTCTTTTTTGTATTTCCCAATGAATGAATGAAAAACAAAACGATATTGTTGTGTGTTTACTGACGTTTCGCTATTTGATGCTGCTGCTAATAGCTTTATCAAAGCAGTAATATTAAACCAGAATTTACAAAATCTCAGCTTATATGCAACCAATTAATCATCATCACTCATCAGCATTGGGTCATTTTTTATCTTACTGTCATGTTGGCCGAATGGTGAAGATTTTGATGTGGTTGTGTTCTCTGAGCTGGCTGCGAAGCTTTCATCGCCCGACTAAGCGACATCTTCAGCGCATACTTCAATTTGAAGTGAGCTTTTAGATTTCTCCACGAGTTTATTATTCATCTCTCCTGGTGACCATGTACGTGATTGGTTGTTTTTGTGTGTTTTCACACACTCTAGGCTACTCGTATTGGAACTGATTGTTTCTTTGACTTCAACTTTGACCCTTTGTGTGTGGGATTTCCTTCTTATCGGTTGGTAAATTTTGTCAACCTCGATGTGTCTATAGATTGACGATTCACTGGAATACCAGGCTTCTAAAAATTCTCTACCATTTTTGGTGTTTCCTCTATCTAATATTTGAACGTTGGTTGTCCCAGTCAAATTGATGTCCGTGGTTGTCTGTATGTAGTGATATGAGGGAGTGGATGTCATATCTTTTGACGGCTAGCTTAAGGTTCGTGGATACGAAGACTTAGGGGAAGTCCACTTTGGCCAATGTAGTGTTTTTCGCAGTTGATACAATCTATTTTGTA